TGAATTATGGCAATCTGAACTCCATAGCGATGGAGAATTTCAGGGTTTGGCAGTCATAACTCACGGCTATGTAGCAGATAAAGGTTGTGGCCGGTGATTTGAGAGGACGAACAAATGAGGTTCCATGGATGTCGACGTGGAAGCACATGTTAAGTGGAGGTAACATCCGCATATGGAAAAAGAACCAAATAGCAGATCGGGGACCATTTGTGGGTGTAGGGCTTACAGAGAGAGAACCGTGAAATCGGACGGGATTCCGTAGTTTGTTGAGTGTGATGATGGAATCCAAGGCAGAAGAGCATTTAGGTGCCGATCGATAACTCCGAATAACCGGAGTTAGAGTCGACGATCGTTAGGCTTGGACTACATCGCATTCTATGTTTCCTTCTGAAGGCCTAAATGGTGATGTTTAGGGCTAGAAGTCTTTGCAAACACAGTTCCAATCGGTGTTATGTAGGTATTAAGGCGGTGGAAGTATTTGTGTAACAATCCTATTTGATAGAAACAAGATAACAGAGCTGTCCACCAGAATTCCACGGAAACCTCCACCTCCGCCGCCGCCGCCCATCCTGTGTCGCACTTGGGAAGCCGGTGTAGAAACGGAAGAAGGGTGAGGCGATAGAGACAGATGGTTTTCGAAACGCGGTGAAATCGGAATATGAATGGATGAGAAACCAGGTGGGGGGAGATGACAGTGGGGAAAGGCGTGGGAATGACACAGAGCATCTCCATTCTTATCTTCTAAGGGACCAAACTGTCAACATCACAAACTTTAGCGACAAAAATTTGAGCCACTCAAAATATGAAAACTTATGGGCCATTTTTGTCAAAAAATCTGAATGTTCACTATTCCTAAGAAGTATCCTCCTTTAATATATATATATAAGAATATGCCTTTCAGGTTTGTGACTGGGATACCGAGGATCAGGATACTGAGGATCACAAACTAGGTGTGAATAACCATGCAAATATGCTTGGTACAATCGATGTCATTTATCACCCAATCAATGTGTCGGTTAACGACACGCGCTCCATTGATCTTATGATAAACATCGAGCCACCCTTTGTCACCCTTACTAGTCCAAGTTAATGTGCCAGTTAACCACACACACTCCATTAACGATTTGGCAAGGTGCAAAGTGCAATTTCATGGATTAACATCAATTTCACCTTTTTTTAAAGTAACTAAGATTGAGAAATTTAATAAAACATTTAGTTAATTTATAATTATCATTATACTTAATGAGAATTTATAATCCTATCCTACCCGTTCGGCAAACGACCCTCCACCAGTCAAAGAAGCGGTGGGTGAGAGTGGACACCCATTAAACCACCATTTTATAGGCAGTAATACACCCTTATAGACCGACTTCGTGAATGAGGCCTACTAATGGTAAGACTGACTTATTCTTATATATATATATATATATATATATATATATATATATATATATATATATATATATATATATTAAACCTACATTATTATATAGTATAAGGATTGAATTTTAAACTTTTAAAATTCTAGGGTTTGGAATTAAAGTTTCATAAGTGTGACTTTACAAAATTCCAAAACTTAAGGGCAAGTTTTGACACTATTCAAAACTTTTCATTTTCTTAACTTATGAGTTTAATGACTTTTATGAAAAAGACTTTTGGTTTTCCATAACTTGATGATAAGTTATGGATCACATTAAAAGTCTTTAGATCATAACTAACAAGAAATGTCAAATAATATCTATGATCTTAGTTAAACTCATAAGCATAGATAATTCACATCAACAATTTTCAAAAAATCATATAAACTAATATAACTCTTGAAACTTTGACAATTATCTTTTAATTGGACAAGCATGATCATTACCTTATGATAAAACAGGTTTAATGGCTCAAAAACCAGTTTAGGGTATTGATCTTAAACCAAGTTCTGGCCAAAAGTTGAAATTCTGCCCACTGGAGCACTAACTCAGCGAGTGCATGAACTAGACTCGTCGAGTTGGTCATTTTACAAGGGGACTCGGCAAGTCACCCAGTGGACTCGGCGAGTTCACTGGGCAGAAGGCAGAAATTCGATTTTTTTTCACTTTGAAAATCAAATAACATCAAGTATAATAGAAAACAACCCTAGGATCTGATATCACTGAAGGGTTTTAAGCATCCTAACAACCTTAAGGTGCACATACAACCCTAAATGCTTTGGATCTATGTTTTCTCTAATTATATATGCAAAAGGATTTTCCAAAGCATTATCCTCACTAGCATACAATCTTGGGAACTTGTATAACAAAAATCTAGTTAGAAGACATACCTTTTCTTGTAGCTTGATTCCTTGGACCTTTAAGAGCTTGGCACCCCAAATGTGATGCCTCAAATGCTTCACACAACACCACCAACAATGGAGGACTTGAGAGAGGATTACTTGCTTTGCAAATTCGGCTAACACTCTTCTAAGCTCACTTAGGTGTCTATTTTGGCAGCCTTAGGGTCTCTTATATAGTGTGGCAAAACTAGGGTTACACAATGTAAACCCTAATGTGCATGACCTTCCATATTCTTCATGCTCCATAGGTTTAAACCTCCATGGATCATCCATAGGTTGTCACATGGGTTTAGCCCAACATAAGGAATCATAGATCATTGGCCCACACTATAAGAATGAATGATTTACCAAATTAACCCCTTATATTTAATTAGTCTCTTTTGATCACAAAATTAATTCCAAATTAATTATTGATCAATACTAACTAAATAATATGATTTCATATTAATATATTAGAACTTATAATATATTAATAAATCATAAATATCCTCTTCTCAAAAGTCCATCCTTACAAATTGTTTCGGTGTCATGCAACCCAAATGGACCATGCTACTCTCGGGTCAAGTACATACCAATTATAGTTATGGACTTAGACACTAAATCCAACAGTTACAACTCACCCAGTTGGTAGGAATGTAGCAAAGAAATAAGTAAAAGGGAAAGCTACCAATTCTACTTCGTCATCTGGTGATAGACTTGATGAAATACTTGAAAAACATATAGACTTTCATACGCTACCAAAACTCGTTGGATATGAAGAATGCATCGAAAGAAAGAACGATGAAAATTAAAAAAAGAAAAGGTACATAATGAAGAAATTCCAATCATTTTCATGGATCCCTGTTAGGTGCATTTCATGCACCCATTTTATAGCTTTATTTCATAAAAGTGCATTGCATATAGGTTCAAACTCATGCATTTTGCATGTTTTTCAAAAAATTTCATGAAGCTATTCCATTCACACATTTTTGTAATATTTTAGGGACTTTTAGAGGTATGATGTTGCTAGAGGAGGTAAATAAGAGATGTGGACAAAGTTTTAGGACTTGCGGAGCATCGGGGATGAAGATATCAAAGAATTGAAGTTTTTGGTCTTTTAGGGGATTACACGGCCGTGAAAATGGAAGCCTTGAGTTTACACGAGCCGTGTAAACGTAGAATTTTGAGCATCACACTTTCAAGGCCTGACCAATCTAAGCAGTGTAGTTTTGTAATTACATTGGCAATGTAAATGACAGTGTTAATTTACACAGGCTGTGTAAACGTGGTTGTGAGTTAATTAAAAACATTTTTTCTTCTTTCTTAAGAGGGTGCAACCAGTTCCATTGGAAGTTAAGTCGAGTTATAGGAGTTCTTGGGGCGATTTTATGGAAGGATTGAAGTAAATTAATACTTGGAAACACTTGGATTTCATTTGTATTTAAATTTATAAGACTTTAACTTCAATTTCTAGATTTGTGTTTTGTTCTAGTCATGTGTGGCTAGAATCCTAGATTCTCCAACTTTATGTTTTGACTATTGTGTGTGATTTCAATCATGTGACTTGGTGTTTGTTTCTAAATGCTATTTAGTGAATTTGATTTTGTTTCAATTGAAAGTTTGATTTCAATTATAGTCTTATTGGCCAATTAGGTTAGGGTTTAATCACCCAAGTTATCTATTATGCAAAATACGTAATTGTTTTGTAAAATATAACAAGTAACAAGCACGAAATTGAATTTCTTAGAATGATTCTTGTGAAAATCAAATTCATACATTCTTACGCTCCCAGACTTATGAGGAGTATTGAATGTTGTTAATAAAATTCACACAAAACATAATGCAATCTCTCCACCTAATTCTAAGAGTTTGTTTAGATTGGATTAGTAAGGTTAGGATTAATCAAAGAGCTTGTTTTTATTAAATAATGCGGTGAATAGGAATTGCTAGAGCTTGTTAGCATTTCCAAATACCAACTTAGATATAATTAAACAAATATCATTTCATACTTGAAATCACATTGCTAAATTGTCTTGCATAGAGTTGGAGTATTTACAAATCTTGAGTTTATTTTATTTAATCAACTGGTTACTTATTACTTCAATCCTTTATTTGAATCAATGCATATAAATCCCCCCCATTGTGACCAAATTTGTATCTTATACAAAAAGGTGTAGTCATTTGTCTCGTATTTATGTGGATTGACCATGCTTATCTTGTATTACATTTTTAGTGCAAAATAACAGTGTTATTGGAGTCATTTTGTATCCCTTTATTTGTTGGGTTTGACACGCCTAACAATCCCAGTACCATGTCGGAAGATGAACGTGAAATTTGGAGAAACAGTTGAGACGATATTAAAATAAAATACAATATGAAGTAAAATTTGTATTTTATATATTGTACTTTTATTTAGTGTATTATTTGTAACTTTTAATTTTTAAATTGTAATCTTTAATTAATATTAGTAATTGTAACTTTGAATTTATAATTAATGTAATATTCTAGTTTTATTTATTAATATTATTTATAAAAAATAAAATAATAATGTAACAATCTATTAAATTTTTTAAAAAGAGTTTAATTGAATGTAAAATTTAATAAACTAAATGATATAGTGAATGAAATATTGATGTGATAATCTAAGAGTTCAATCTAAACTTTTTTTTTTTTTTTAATAATCCTTTGATAAAAGAGCAGTCCTCGATAGGAATAACACAAACCTCGTAGCCAAACACCTACGGTGGTATCATTTTTCCCCATCTATATAAGTTTCATACCCCAGTGGAGTTCTATCTGATATTCGTACTCATCCTCCCGATTGATTTTTATTGGTAGAATAATCGAACAAAAAAGATGTCAGGTGGTCCGATTGCACAAGATTGGGAGCCGGTGGTGATCCGCAAGAAAGCTCCCACCGCCGCCGCGCGTAAGGACGAGAAAGCTGTCAACGCCGCCCGTCGCTCTGGTGCGGAGATCGAGACTGTACGCAAGGGTTAGTATTCGTGCTCTTCCCCTTTCTTCGTCATACATACATGTATGCGTTATATCTTTTCTCTTTTTGTTTGTTCATATTCTTTGACGAATTTCCTGTTGTCACAAGTTTGTTTTCAATGAATTTACTCTCAACGCAAGAATCATCTGTCTTACGGAGATAAGATTACGTATGCTCGTATGTTCAATTTGTTTATGTCTAGGACTTGTTCTTGTATTGACCTAGGGTTTTGGATTTCACCTTTTTCGATTTGTTTCTGTTTATTTACTGGCTTACAGGTGTACATAGATGTCGTTTTAGATATTCTCTCAATGGATTCTTACATATAGAAATCGGATTTCTCCAGTGCTAAGATGAATTTTCATGTTCTCCTATTATGAATGTTCATCTGCCTTTTTTTTGAATTACTTTAGGGTTTATAACTCACATAAGCGTATCTAACATGTTGTATGTATAACAACACATTGGAAAATACTTCCTATATCCTTTTAACAAACGATCACTTGTTTCTTAAGCTAATCAACTGAAGTTGCTTTATCATGTATCAAATGGTAAATTGTCATGGCCTAATGCCTATTAATGTTCTTTTAAGATCTTTTATGGAATCTTTTTCAGAAATCTGACCTATAGCTTGGTTTATATTTGATCAAAAGTCTGTGTTGTGTTCTTTTTCCTTTTGCAGCTACTGCAGGTTCAAACAAGGCTGCCTCTAGTAGTACTTCTCTTAACACTAGAAAGCTTGATGAAGAAACTGAAAATCTCACCCGTAAGTCAAATCTTATTTTAAAAGCTAAGCAATATATATATATATATATATAGTTTTGACAATTCTTCATACTTTGTACTTTATTAAATTATGACTAAATTTTATGAACAGATGAGAAAGTACCAAGTGAGTTGAAGAAAGCTATCATGCAGGGTCGAACTGAAAAGAAGCTTACGCAATCTCAACTTGCTCAGGTTTTTACATCTCTGTGTTTGCTAACACTCATACAGATTAATTTTAAACTTATATAGAATCTGATTTTTTTTTTTTATATAAAATTTGCAGCTGATTAACGAAAAGCCCCAGATTATACAGGAGTATGAATCTGGGAAGGCTATACCAAATCAACAGATAATCACCAAACTGGAAAGGGCTCTTGGTGTGAAGCTCCGGGGTAAGAAATAGAGGACATTAACAGTTGACAGCTGCAGAGGGTTTGTGACTTTTGCAGTGTTGTTATCCATGTTTCTACTACTAAAAAAGATTATAAAAAAAGAAAAAGAAGTGGGAGTGCACAAAACCTTTTGTTTAATTCCTCTGGTTTGAGTTGACCACTTGTGTTGTGGACATGGTTCTAAGAAGATCTTGTTTTGTTATTGTGGATTTTATTATGGTTTGGTCTGAGATGCATCGATGTGTGGTTCATCATAACGCTTAATATATAAATGTCTGTCTGTATGGCCGTTACCAGTTCTGATTTTCTTAATTGGGGTGTCTGGATTGGATTGTGCATAGTACTTTTTGGGTTGAAACTAGAATAAAACTTGTTTATCTTAACATCGTTATAAGATTAGTTTGAGTGATATTATCACTTTGAATTTGGTCAAATTGCAAACATATATTTTCTATCAGGATAAAAAAAAAAAAACTACAGTTTTATATGTTTTGGTTGACAAAACCAAAAAAAAAGGAATTATTTACAATTTATTAATTTAATTTGTAGTTGAATGACTTTTCCTTTGACAAAGTAAAGATTTTAGATTTGGGATAATGTCGGTTTTACCCTCCGTAGGGTTTTTGGTTCGTTTGTGTCGTAAATTTGTAATATTGTTTGTTGGAGTTTTTGGTTCTTTTGTGTCGTAAATTTGTAATATTGTTTGTTGGTTTTGTCATTTTTACACATAATAACAAGTTTTTTGGTTACAATGAAATATTATTTGCAAAAAAACTTTAAGTTTACAAATATACCGCAAAGAAACCTTTAAGATTATAAATCTTAATAATTGTGTTAAGATTATAAATCTTAATAATTGTGGCTGGAATTCGTGATGAACACGAAGTGACATAGCTTACTATAAAGACTGAATGGAATACAATAATTTATAGTAATGTTAATATATTTTGATAGAGAACTGCCTTGGACCGTTTTCTACAAAAACAAACTTGTCTAGCTATGGTATCGACATTCTTTGTTACTTATGCCCGATTTGTAATAACTCTTTAAAAAGATAGTTGTCATTTGCTAATCAAGTGTTAACGAAAGTCCCAAATTTTTATCAAGATAAGTCGGTTTGATATAGAATTGTTCAGTCTTATTCTTATATGTGATTTACGTGGTTTTATTGATCCGTTGTATGTACATGGCTCGTAAAACAGTTTTGGAGGTGACCATAGTTACTATGAGGTGATATTATTTCAAACAATTTTTTTTAAAGGAAAATGAAAATATTTTATATGTTTAAAAGGTTTGTATTTCAGAAATAATAATATATCATATTTTTATAAAAATAAATATAATTGTATAAGATATTATTTCTAAAACATAAATATTTTATATGTTTATAAAGTTAAACTATGGTAGTATAGTTAATTATTAGCTAACAAATGTTTTTTAAGTTTGCTTTAACAAGTTTAAGTATTAATTAAGGAATATATTCAAAAATTGATAAAACTAAATAATTTTTTAAAATTTAAATATGAGAAGTTTATATTGAACTAATATAAAATTTGCCATACTTAAGGTAAAAATCGGTTTTGGTTTTATAATATAAGTATGACAAAATTTATATTGGTTTAATATAAACTTTTGATATTTAAATTATAAAAATACTATTTAGTTTTATCAGAATTTAAGTATTTATTTATATTTTATATGTTTATAATCTTAAGGGTTTTTTTGCAAAGTATTTGTAAACTTAAGAGGGTTTTCGCAAATAATATTTTATAGTAACCTAAAAACCTGCTATTACAGATAAAAATGACAAAACCAACAAAAATATGACAAGTTTGCGGCATAAATGAATCAAAAATTCGTTGGAGAATAAAACCAACATTTTTGGCCATGACTTTTTATGGTGTTATCCCTTTAGATTTTGTTTTGTATGTTTTATCAAACCCACCCCATCTACACCAACATGCACCCCACGTGTTAAAAAGACAATTAAAAAGAGAGAAAATGATGAATTTGTAGCAATTATCAAGTAATTAGAAAAGAATGACTACTAGTGATAAGAGGGAAGAAGATGAGAAAGAAATAAACACTAAATGGACCAGTTTCTCGAAGGCAAATAATTTTTTTTTAACGTAAAACACATTGTCTATGTATTATTTATGGAGTTGACAGTTTTGAAGTATGTTATTTTGACATTTTGTTAGAAAAATGGTCAAATTTTTGTAAGTAAATATAATCATTTTAATGAATATTCTTATTTAACTAAGTGAGTTTGACGAATCAAAGGTGTTTAATGTAACTATACACAACCTCATTGAGATTTAAAAACTGAGTTTGACGAATTTTACCAAATATGCTCATTTTAATGAATATTCTTATTTAACTTGGTGAGTTTGATGAATTTGACATAGTTGATAAATATTGTGTAATGTTAGAGTTCTCGGATAGATCATGAAGACCTATTAAACTATTGTATTTAGACAATTCTCTCCTTAATAAATGAAAATAATTTTACCACTTGTTATCCTCTTATGCACTATGTAGCAGTTATTTTATGGTAAATTCAGATTACTAAATTATATCCATATGCCACTTTGTGATTTTTTTCTATTTTATTAAATTTCATATAATACTTAAATATAATAAATAAAATAATAAATGTATATCAATTTTATTAATACAACTTTCCTTATAATTTCTAAATTTCTAAATTGAATCAAATTATTTTAGTTGTTTATTTATTTAAATTATTAATTTAAATTTAAAAGATAAATATGCATTTCAATTTTAATAATTAAATAATTTACTTTTTTGTTATAAATGTAAACTTTCTGAATTGCTAGATCTTCATATTTGTTTATTTTTTTTGAATAAACTAACGTGATACATGGTCTCACAACTAGTTTGTATAATGTAAGAACTATACCCAATTCTATAAAGAGTCTTACCTCGAGTTGAGTATAGAAACTCCTACCAGAGAACTGTGACAAGAAAAAAAAAACAGCGATAATGAAAAGAGATGAATATAGAAAACTAATACCAGAAATAGATATAAAATGTTGATAAATGAACAAAATATTGATAAATACGTAAATCTTAGCATATTAAATTTCAGACTTATACTACTACGTTATCGTAGTTTTTGTCTCCATTCCCTCCTAACTTAGATCATTTCCATGAAAAGTCATTTTTTCACGTTTAACCACAAATGATCTTCCCAGTTCCTCCTGGTTTGCAATTTACCCCCCTCTTCCCCTAACAATCTTCATCCTCCTTACTTTAAACGTTGCTTGTATCCTTTGAAAATGTCCTTACTATATACACTACAGCCTAGCATCCTCATTTCAGCAACTTGTTACGCACATTCCTTCTTGAGCAACATTTAAAGCATGTGGACTCATTATAATTACCAAAATCCATTAAAGCTCAAATAACATTATAAGAGAAAAATATAGTTTGTAAGAAATAAACTTGTAATATTATCAACATAATACAATCAATCGTCTCTCACATTCCTGAAAGAATATAACAGTAAGAGTCCACTCCTTTCGGTCACATATAACAAATTGTCTGGTTTCATTCAGCATTACATTCCATTGTATCAAACACTAGCTTACAATGTTCATCATGTCTATGTACATAGCATACAACATATCCTAAAAAGTAAAAACACAAATAACATCAAACAAGTTCTCTAAAGACACAAAGAAAGCACCATTTTCACTACACATACACATTACAAGAGACTGAGTACGTGGGTGTAACCACTCACTCACAGGCAAGCTTGGTTCCAAAACTGGTGAGAGAAATAGCAAACGCATGAAAAGCAGACAATGGCTGCCTGTAATCCATAGTAAACATATCATCCCCCACCTTCCCAAACTGAAGCAAAACCGTCTCCCCATCACCTCTCCCTCCCGGTTGACTCGGGTCCATCGTCCCCACCAACTGAAAATTCTTCACAGACGCCACTGTCACCCTCCCATGAAAATTCAAACACCAGCATTGCAAATGCTCGTGCCACCTTGGCGCTTTATTCCTCAATAAAATCTGACCAACACCAACACCAACACCCACAGATTTTGATTTTCTCAGCTTGGGTTGTTCTGAACCTTCATTTGATGATGATGATGATGATGATGATGATGGTGATGGAGAGGCTAAAGATGCTACCATTCTTCTTGGACCTCTGGATTTCAAGAGGTTGAATTTGTATGACACCTCACCAATCTCGAAATTACCGCCAGCTGGCACTTGGGGGCTGATTTGTTTGCTAGTGAAACGGCGTGCTGACTTGCTGTTTGAGTGTTTTGCAGTGTTGTGGGGAGGCTGGCTGTCGTATAGTGTAAACTTTGTCCCCAGGAAATCAGAGCTGGAGATTCGTATATCAACAGTTTTTATTATGAATAAATCAGTGTTAATAATAGTGTTTATTTATAAATATGGATTTTTCTTCCTATTTAGGAAAATATAATACCTCAGTTTACCAACGTAAGCATTGCTTCCTTGAGATAAATCATGTGGATCAAGAGATATTATGTACTCTGTATGAGCACCGTGTCTGTATCTACGTGCTGCCAACAGAAACTTACCCTTCTCTGTAAATGCTGCCAAAAATAAAATCCAACTTAATTATTTAATCAACACTTCAAGCTTAGTGAATTTCATTATATTATAAGATAAAAGAAAAGGAGCACAATGAAAAAAATAATAATAAATAGACATGACAACTCAATCTTCTACACGCGATTTACATCATTCATTGAATCTCCCTTCCTTATTTGGTGCATTAAATACTTTTCTAAGTTGACAAATGGTTAACATCTTGAAAGTTGTACATTTATATGAAGTGAGCATTATAGTTGTTCACTTTCAAATGAATGCCAGGAATAATAATACTTCTATGTCGCATTCTGAGATGTCAACAAGATTGTCATACAAGTCAAACCAAAAGCATGATATAAGAAAAATACCTTAGATTTCTTGTCTCATGCATCATTTGTGATTGCTTAAGTAACAAAGTGTGCAATTGTCTTACCTAATGTTCACCTAATTCAACACATATCAACCACAAAGAGATTAATGAAAATTTTTGTACTTACATGCAGAAGCAGCAAGATAGAGGTAAAACATTGAGTTTTTCTTGTCTCGCTTTATGAGGCATTGAAGTTGATTGTCGCGAGGACCAGGCTGCAAAGAAACCAAATAGATCATTCAGAAATTTGAATCCATCAAAACATGAAGCTATTAAGACATAAGAACGGGCATAGCACATTGAACACACTTCCAGCCTCTTGATTTGGACCTCAACAATGTTACATAGTTTATCAAAAAAGACCAAGAAATTTTCCATTTGAGTTGCATAAACAATCGCGTTATAACAAAGAACTCATCATTTAGAGGGTACTAACTAATTCTTTCAAAAACTTATCCCATGTTAACTCTTGATAAGCTTATAATTCCCATTTGAACATTGTAAGCTTAATTATTCCACCTGAAATATGATTGGCAGCAATTTGCAAAAAATATAATAACAAGCTCATACAGGAACACAGATGTGTTTGGGGGGAATAGATTCGAAGAAATTTAACTTCATAAGTATCGAAATCTGCTATTTAATTAGCTGTATGCGTATCTAGGGCTTACTCTAGCACACCCAAAAACAATTAAAACACACAAATGTTCATCGCCTAAACAATTAGGGAAATTAAGAACGAATATAACTCCGACACAAAATAAAATCAAATCAAATCGGACCTGCTTAAGGCAAGAAGGGAAGGTGATATTCCCGCCCTGAACCGGAGGTTTAACTATCTCTTTGACAATCTCCCTCCACTTTTTACACACACATCCACAAGCGACGACGCTTTGCCGAAACGGCCATCGGTCCTCGGTCGCTTCGACTCGCTTGATTATCTCTCCTATGAGCTCCGGCAACATATTAGACCAAGAACCTTCTCCGTTTTCGTTGTCGTTGGGTTCAACGGCGACGGCTTCGTTTCCATACACAACACCACCGGAAATTTGATGCGATTTGAATTGTACATTTTCTAACGCTGTGTAATCCTTGGACGACTTGGATCGGCTGTTGATTCGGCGGGATAGGAATGATCTTCGTAGCGACATCGGTTGAGAGAAAGAGGGGGTTGAGGTTGGGGCGTGACGAAAGAGAATGATGAAGAAGAAAAAGGGAGAAAATGGTAAAAGAAATTGAGAAAAAATGAGAGTTGTAGAGAGTCTGTTAACGTGACGCGTCTGTCAGCGGATCAAAGTTGACAGACAGGGCGTGCGTATGTCATGAAAGGGAATTATAAAATCTGATACGAAGGTGTGTCGATTGTGTTTTGAGATTTATCATGTAAATAACTAAATATCATGATTTTGATTTTTAAGTTTTAATAATTATGTTTTTTTTTTTTTGACGTTTTTGCATAAATACTTTTATTTCTAATTATTTGATTGCTAGATTATCATTAACTTTAATTATCAAAAAATAGATAATATTATAAAGTATTTATCTTTACTTCCAAGTTCAAACTATTTTGGGATGTCTTTTTTATGTTGCATATAAGAACAAAAAAACTTTCGTTAATTATGTTATATGCTAGTTTCATAAATAATTTAAACTTATTAAATACTTTTATAATAAATTAGTTGAACTTATATATTCCAATCTCTTTATGGTCCACTTTTTAGTAAATAATTATCTAATTTAAATAATTTAATATTAATTAACCAAGCTCATCCAAAATCTCACATGTAAGTAAAGTATTTTGTATTCGAATATTTGAGTAATTATTATGTATAATTATTTTTAAATAAGTAAAGTTTCTTGCTTGCGGATTGGTTACGCTTCTTCGGTGGCATGGTTTTTCCTAAACAGAAAAAGAATATAAGGTAATGAAAGACGATAGTTAACGTATTAGGCATAATATTTTTCCCGTGCCTCGGGTATTGGTTGTTTGAACGTCGACCTACATCCCTATGATGTAGTCCTGGTAATCGAAGTGGGTGTATGAATATCAGAAAAAGGCCATAAGATGCGAGTCGTTCCTACTAAGTTACCTTTATACTAAGAAAGGTTTCACTCTCCGGCCTGGAGAGATTTGAGAACAGTTCGGAACGAAGCTGCGGAAAGAGAGGCTCATGAGGGCTTATGGCTAAACAACCTCACAGAGGTGTGGGGATCCGCTCTAAGTGTATTTCTGGCAACGAGAACAAGGCGATTTACCTAACACGTAGTGTGAGCAGTGTAACCACTAACTCACTAAATTGTATTATTTTATGGGTGTATTAGCGTGACGAACACGAGGAAAAGACACTTTTCGGGTTCCACGTACTGGCTCCCTCGGTCTGCCTCGTATCTTTGACTGGAATCGGCGTTGGTTTCCTTTGGGTAGTTTCCTAGGGTTCTCTTCTCGTATGAACATATTGAATTTCTACTCCGCCTTCCTTCTGACTACAACTCTAGGTGTCATCACTTCATGAAGGATGACTGGGAATCTCCGAAGTTTAGGCGAATTCCTCACCGATGTCCCTATAAGAATATGGGCACTTGGTGCATTCAATAACCCAGTTCATTTATTTCCGAACAGGAAATCTTCTCAATGAACTTCTTCGGGGTCGGAATCAACTCTTTGTTATGCACTGAAGTGGGTAGGGTTATCTACAGGGTTCGTGCGAGAATGGAAATGTCTAAAGAATCCTAAGAGATTATTAACATTTCACTGTGTGATCCATATCGAGTCCTGCTACGATTACACAGGGTGTACAAATCATATATAGCTTAGATCCGATAGGCCTTCGAATATGTGATACTACTCTAGAACACATCCCAACGAGGAAAAGGTAATAGAGCGAAACCACACATTCTTAGCCTATGGGATCCTTATTATATATAACCTTGGAAGTATACCCTCTGTAGTTGTAGGTATGTCAATAAGGATCTTTTAGTTCTCACACCAGGTTATCTATGTATCCTAAATACCCCTATGGTATTTTAATTCTTGTTTGGTTCTTATCTTTGAATTATGATTCTGGGTTTAGTGTGAATCTTTTAGCGTTCTAAAATACTCCTATAGTATTTTAACTTTATGTTTGGCTCTAACAAATCCTAGTTGGTAAGTTTCAGACCTGTTGCACACCACAATCACTCCCGAGCACACGTTCATCGCATCTCGAATAAAGGTAGTTGATCAGGTTACATTTATTCCAGCGTACGATTACATAACTGCCCAGATTTGTCTGTAGTGCTCAACATCCGAAGACTTTTATTCTTGTTCTTCTTGTGATACTTGTGTTCGAGTGCTTAGATTCTGGATGTTATTATACTTTGGTAAAATATGGTTATATTTTAAAGGCGAAACCTCTGCCTGAGTGAAGTTCGCCGTCACAAACTTCCACCAATCCTTCGCTCCCAGACGGAGCTGGTTCAAGGCGAACCGTACCCTCAAGTGCTCCGGGCATGAGCAAGTATAGAAGCACCCCTCGATGTCGGCGATCCATCTCATAGCTGCAATCGGATCCTGCGTCCCATCAAATTCAGGGGGTTTCGTGTTGCTGAATTCCCTGAATAGTAATGAATCACCCCCTTGCGGCCTGGCAGCAGCCACAGCTGCGGTAGCGGCAGCAACTGCAACTTCAGTAAGTGCGGCGTACCGCTCCTCAAACTCCTCCATCAGCGTGGTCTTAATAGACCCAAACATCTCCGGGATCTCAGCCCGGACCGCCGCAGCTACCTCTTCCTGAATAATCTAACGAATCTCCTCGTCACTCGCACCGCTCGAACTCGCCCCATTGCGTGTGATAACCATGATGTCTCTGAAATACAACATAAAATCATCAGAGACTCCACCAAGTACAATTGTACTCGATACGCGCCCTACCCAGTCTCCGATTTCCAGGGATTCTTACTTGAGTCTTCCACTGATCCGGTGCCTTCGGTAGTACGGGCCCAATACTACCGACCACACCGTATCAGTATTCGTCCCAAATCTTCCTCCCCAAATCCCGAATAACGAGTACTCTACTCTAGTATGCACTATCTACTTGCACGCTACCAAATATCTCATATAAGCAATCTCCCTAGACTAAGACATCACAAAACAGGCAATTCTAGTCCTATCATGTATACCTAGTCTTCTAGCATGCATAACAATTCATAATTCAATGCATAACATAACATCGTAAGGTATTCTGGGGATCTTTACCGTTCGGACGCTGGCTGCTCGTACACACTGTTCCATCCTTGTTTTACCGCCTTACCATTTATAAAATGTTGTGTCCTTATTATTTAAAAATTTTTTTCCTCAAATCCCCGGTCTGAGTTCAGTTGCACCCAAAAGTACACCCGAATCCCTCAAACCAAGGCTCTGATACCAATTGTAACAACTCAAATTTTCAAATAAATTTTTCATTTAAAACAAAACATCATTATTCGACAAAAGGGTTTATTCCATGATTATTTCAAAATATAAATAATAAATCTCCAGGATCTTCAACAGTGGCAGTGTGTACGTGTCACGCCGGCGCCTTCCCACGGTCATCACTAGTACCTGAAAAACATAAACACAACTAGTAAGCATAAATGCTTAGTGAGTTCCCCAGTATACGACTTACCCACATACGCCTTCCGGCCCGGACCTTTCGGTCCACATAACATTGCCTTCCGGCCCGTAACATAATCGCCTTCCGGCCCATAACATATCGCCTTCCGGCCCGTATTAAATTGCCTTCCGGCCCATAGTATTTTGCCTTCCGGCCCATAATAGTATAAAACATAACACATGTAACATAATACACATAACACATAAGTCATACATCATACCGTCCTTTCTATCACATAAAGTCTCGCCTTCCGGCCCGTATAAGCATACATCACATATAAGCATACATCACATATAAAGCATCTACCTCTCTAGACATAGCATGAATATAACACATACGACCTTCCGGTCTCACAGTCAAACCCTTCCGGGTGAAGTATAGTGAGAAGACTCACCTCGTAGTATGCAAGCTATAAACCCTTCGAGCTACTCGCACTCGATCCGCTAATCCGCAGGTTCCCTATAATACCACATACCTTTGTTAATGATCTTATCAAACAAGACAACTGACCCTACTAAGTTATATACAGGTCAACGGTCAATCTTGACCGGACTCGTCGAGTGCAAAGGGCAACTCGGCGAGTATAGACACCCTGACTCCACTCGCCGAGTCTGAAGAACGACTCGACGAGTTCCAGTAGATCTTCAAGCTACTCGCCGAGTCTGAAGAACAACTCGGCGAGTCCTAGTGAACCTTCAAGCTACTCGCCGAGTCTGAAGAACAACTCGGCGAGTTCTAGTGAATCTTCAAGCTACTCGCCGAGTCTGATCATTGGACTCGGCGAGTCCTCGCCATGCAGTCAATCCGCTGCCTCCTGTATTTCGCATGATTTCGAAGTATATAGATATGGGGCTTCCTGGACTTTCACATATACTATTACAGGGGTTTTTAAACACTTATAACAACACTATAATCTAACAATTCCTTAAATGGGTTTCCTAAACCCTAAATTCGCATACAACGTAAAAGCTACAGATTTTGATCCGAAGATTACCTGGAAACGTGTTCCCTGTGTCCCCAAACCTCCAGTACTCGATTCCTTTGATCACCACCTTGCTCCTCCTTGTCTAACAATCTCTTCAAGCTTCCTCAAGTCCTCACTCTTGCTCCAGATGCCCACAACTCCCAAGGTATCTTCAATCGGCCAAAAGACGCGACATGACGGCCATAAGATCGTTATATACGATTCAGAAATGAAACGGCTAGGGTTCAGCTGAATCAGCGTCGACTCGCCGAGTCCCTATTTGGACTCGTCGAGTCCAGTCGCGTATCTGCGACTGCGACCAAGACCATGGCCCTACTCGGCGAGTCATGCACCAACTCGCCGAGTCCCCTCTAAATGTGCCCCAAAAATAATTTAAAGAAATACCTGAAATTCCGGGCTGTTACAACTCTCCCCCACTAGAACTAGACTTCGCCCTCGAAGTCTCATTCTGCGAATAACTCCGGATGTTGCTCCCGCATTTCTCTTTCCGGCTCCCAAGTCATCTCCGATCCTTTCCGATGTTGCCACTGAACCAACACCAGAGGTATCTCCTTGTTCCGTAGAACCTTGATCTTCCGATCCCTGATAGCTACTGGTCTCTCGGCGTAATTCAGGCTCGCATCCACCTGAATATCTTCTAACGGAACCACTGCTGCCTCATCGGCTATACACTTCCTCAACTGCGATACGTGGAAGGTATTGTGAATCTGACTCAGCTCCACT